ATAATAATAATAATAATAATAATAATAATAATAATAATAATAATAATAATAATAATAATAATAATAATAATAATAATAATAATAATAATAATAATAATAATAATAATAATAATAATAATAATAATAATAATAATAATAATAATAGTGTTCAATAAATCTCAAACAAACATATGAACCAATAAAATACAAAATTGTTCATCTCAAAAAGATCTAATCTAAGGAATCTAGCTATTCATAGTATAAGTAGAAATTATCATGAGTGTAGACGAAAGAAATTATGAAATATTATGAAGTATGTCTTCGATGGCTTCCAAAATTTCTAAATCATCCTTTTAAAGCTCCAAATCGTCCCTTTATCTCCCAAATTCATGAACACCTAAAAAAGTAGCATAAAAGACCTTTAAATAAAAATTTCGCATGTCAGGAAATGTGTTCTACCACGTTACAATGTAGCAATATCGTGCGCGATAATTCAAGGACATATATCTTCTTTTTAGCTTTCATATGTAAAAAGTTCCGTCTCAATCTAAGTTACGAAACTCTATATATGATCAAATTATCGAACAAGCGTCATGAAGTAAATTGTGCTGAAAAATACTCGTTTCTTCACAATTTCTTCACGGTATCTTCAAAAATTTTCTAAGTCTTTATTTCTTCCATGTGATTGATTTTTTCTCAATTCTTCACACTTTGGTATGACTTTTGTTTGTTAATCTTCCGATTTCATCTAAAATTATTCATAAAAATCACGTAAGGACGACTGTCATCATAATATCAAACTTACTTTATTGCTTGTTCTCAAGTAACCTGTCCACACACTTAATATTTCATCAAAATTAAAATGCTTACGCTTACCAATGAACGTCATCTTTCTTCTTTTGCTGATATACACTTCCGTTCCCTGCTTTAATCCAATAAACTCGGAAAATTTCTTCCGAACATACAAGTATCGAACCTATCTCTTATCTCACAAATATTCACTCTATTTGACAAGGTAATCACACAATCAACGTACAATAACATTTAACAATGAGTTTGTAAAGTTTATAACGAAGTCAATCAAAGTCATATTTAAACACACACTTTTGAAGTCTTTTTAAGGTTGTAATATGACTTATATCAGGGCAGAATAATTTAGATTAGTAGACTTACACCTTTGTGTTGCGACGGGAAAATTGAGATTAAGCTACTGATTAACTTAACTCAGAAAAAAGTAAGAGTTGCCACCAAACTTTATTGTTTCCAAAGGGAAAAGTGAAAAGGTAAAAAAAAAACCACAAAAAGTTTTGAAAACCAAAACAAAAGAGAGATTTAAGTATGAGGGTTGGTTATGTAAGGGGAAGGTATTAGCACCCCACACATCCATGGTACTCCATTGGAACCACTTGAATTTGTTTATGAAATAAAATTTTGTTTGTTGATTGATTTTAGGTGAAAAGATATTTTGTAATATTCGAGTGGAAAATTCAACTTACTACCCACAAGTATGAGGAAATGAGCATTTGCATCATTTTGATATGGAGAATTTTTCTTAGATTTACTCAACAAGTATGTCTCAACATCCAAGTGGCAAATATCAATTAATTTCACAATATAATGTAGAAGTATAGAAATTTGCATCACTTCAAGAATAAACTCATATCCCTTCTTTGAGAAAAGAGTCTGGTCTGAAAAGAAAAATTCACTAAGGCACAAAAGAAGTTTGACGAGGTTTGTCCTTTTTTAAGAGTTTTGAAAGAGTTTGAATATGCTTAAGTATTTTAGCAATTATTAAGAAAAAGATTTTCTGGACCTCTTAACAAAGTCAAGGTTAAGAAAGGGGTGAAAATTTGAAAACAAAAAGTTTTGAAATAGGGAGAAGATTTTGAAAATTAAAGAATAGGAGGAGATGAAGAGACTATCCTAAAACATAAAGTAAATGATAAGAAATAAATGGTCTCATTGTAAGGTAGTCCAAGAGAAAATCTTTGTGTGTTAAAGTGAACTAACCACAAGAAGAAAAAGTATTTGACATTAGTCAAGATGGAACATCCTTTTCCATTTGGATTTAAGCCACAAGACAAGCAAGCAAGATCCAGATAGAATCAAAAGCATAAGATGAAATCCAATGTATCAGATGAGAATCCCAAACATCATATAAAAACCAAGATCTTCGATAACAATCCCCGCACCAGATGAAATATAAAACACCAGATAAAATCAAAGGTCTTAGATGAATTCCCAAGGTCTCAGATGCATGGTCCAAATAAATCTCAAGGTATCAGATGAAAATCCAAGTTGAGGATATACCCTAAGTCTAAGAATAGAATCTCCTAAAGCAAGTGAAAGTAACCAATAGTCCAAATGATCAGAGCCAATTTTTTTTATGGTTTTGCCTTTATTAATGTCTTTTGATGAAAAACAAAAATAAAAATCCATGGGAAAAAAATGAAAAAAGACATAAAATAAATGACAAAAGTAAAATAACATGAAATGTAAATGACATAGTAAAATATAAAGTGCTTGAAATTAAATTGCATTAATCTCAAGGGAAAGAAATTAAAAGACATTAATGTAAAAGTACGAAAATATAAAGTTAGCACAATTAATATTGGATTAATGTTAGTGTTAGTAGTTAGTAATCCGATTCGAGACAAATTTAGTGCTATGTTAAGCAATCGTAATTGAACTTACATAGAAGTTGCACCTATCTGAGGCTGGGAAATAGAAATATAGGTATAGTGTATGTTAGATAAATGATACAAAGCCATTCTCCAAAAATAATGCAACACCATTGCTTAAAACAAAAATAAAGCGATCAAGCACAAAGGTAAGGATATTAAACCATTATTTCAGTCAAGTTCTTCATGATACTTTGAGACAAACTTATCATCAATCCAAAGTATCAAAAGTGATCAAATGATTACTTAATAATATATTTAAAATGATGAAAGTTCATCAAACATCAATCTAAACCCAATTGAACAAGATGAACCAATCATCATCCAATTGATCAAAATAAAAAGAAGAAAGAGATGAAGAGAGACGAGCAACCAAATTGAATCATAACATTAAATTAATCTATCATTAATTTCAATCACCTCTCTTGGTGTATCAATGTGATAAACCTATCATCAATCTAAAGTACCAAAAATGATCTAAATGATCATTTAATGATAAATTTGAATTGATGAAGATTTATACAAATAAAGTATCACCCAAAGTCCATTGATATTGATGAAGATTTTGATCGATCAAGTCAACAGAAGTCCAACTAATATTAAATGATAAAAATAAACAATAAAAATGATTTTTAAAATGATTTTAATTGGAAAATAAAAGGAAAACTCAAATGAAGTAGAAAATAATCAAATAAATGCTCAACAAAAATCATGGAAAATCAAGAAAACTCTAAGGATTAAAATTCCAAAAGATTGGATCCAAAATATTTCAAAATCAGTGAGAAAAAATTGTTTGAAATCAATTAAAATATAAAAAAAATAGAAAAAAAATGCTAAAAATCATTTTAAAAATTTGGAAAAATCACATTAGGTAGAAAATATTTTGAGAAAATTATAGAAAAAAATTGGAGTGAAAAATATTAATGGAGCTATTTTTAATGATTTTCTTTGAAGAAAAGAAAAATAAAAAGAGAAACTAAAATAAAATAAAAGATGAATATAACGAATAGTTGAGGTGGAGCACTCTGATTGGCTATGGAACTTGAATTTTCCACCATAGTGCGCATTCACTTCATCTTCAACCTCTGTTCAGTCACTTTTGCAGGTTATGTAAAGATTTTAAGCTATCAAACCACATGGTTTAGCTTCATCTCATGTCGTCATCCGCGTCTCTCTTTATCAGAGTAATTTATTTGCTCTAAGAAGAGAGAATTCGCAGAAATATGATAAATCCTAGCTAACTTCAAAGTACAACTAAATCGTGATTGTGAAGAATAAATTCCAAGTAAGTGAGGGTTTTTGATCAGTGACACAAGACGAAGAGACTGGTAACTTGTTTGAGTGAGAAAGAAACTCGTATATACCTTTCCCATGATGCTCGACGAGACTAGTCTGATATGGGTAGAATATTAGATTATGAACTTTTAGTTCTTTGTGGAGTTGCCGAGGGGATTTTAATTCAATGTTATCACCTCCGTTAATCACGGTGAGTTTATTTTGGTGGAAAAGACAAGAGGATGTTGATGAAGACTCAAGATAATGAGTTGTCCTAGTCTTTCTATTTTTACCTTTTTTATATGGTGTAAGTATTTGTTTTTGTTCGAGGTTGGTCGGTCTACATGATTTTCCAACAAATTTTGCACCCAACCCGATGAAGGTGTTGGAGGCTGCAATTAAGGCAATAACCCAAATGCCACAATTAGGCGGCCAGGGGAAGACTGCAATGAATGCTTGTATTTTAGTTTTTATTTGTTCTTTTTTCATAATATACTCTTCGAAGCTTTTACCACATTTTTCCATGTATTCCTACATCAAGTTTTGATAGATCATCAGATGTACTCAATATTCACTCGCTATTTTTATAGGTTAAAAATCCATGGCCTAATGTTGATGCTCACAGTGGAGTGCTGCTGAACTACTATGGTCTAACTGAGGAAAAGTATGGGACTGCATCTCTTGTTTAATTTGAGATCATTTTTGATTTGCAATTAATTTTTAGGGTGAATCTGATGATCTATTAATATTCTGGACAACTATTATACCATTCTCTTTGGTGTAACAAAGAGTATTGGAGTTGGCCCTCAGGTTTGTCATGCCCCATTTTTTCCTTGCCAACATTACTCTTTTTTGCCAGTTTTAATTAACAAATCTCTTCCTTTTGTTGGATTTCAGTTGATATGGGACAGGGCTCTTGGAATGCCACTTGAAAGGCCAAAAAGTGCCACACTGGAAAAACTCGAGATGTTGGCTGGTGCATCATCATGAAATTATTAGCACCATTTATTTGTTGATTTCTAAAATACACTCTGCAGTGAATGTAGGATGTTTACTTGAAAATTTTAGTGTGATTTTTTTGGCTGTTTCGTCTGCATTTTCGGATTTAGAAGATTTCGGTTTTTAGGAAAAGGGTGGATTGTCACCCTCACAGTTGTCTTTCACTTTTTCTACGATGCATAAATTGGTCCTGAGGGAGTATCAGGGCATTATTGTTTCCTGGAAATCCTGCTGTATTCTTTCTAAATCGGATTGATTCCTTGACAAAAAAACACGAAGTTATCAATAACACGAGTTTTACTTAAAGTTTGTGATTCATTGATACAATTTAGCGTAGTTATGAGTATTTAGATTATAATCCATTAGACCTGGCTCGATCTTATTTACAACAAGCTAGACCTGCTTCGATCTTATTTATAACCAGTTATTGTTAAGCGAACAACAACTGGTTTCTATTGATTACATGTTTTTATTCAAATCGTTAATCTCTGCAATTTTTTTGAATAACTTTTCTTATGATTTTTGTAGATCACCTATTTCTCTTGTTTGACTTTTTTTCCATCTTATCTACTCTTATTAGATTTATTGGAGATTTTATTTCTACATGTTCAAATCAATCAAGTCTATATATATTTTTTTACCATTTTCTAATCCTATTACGTTGACTTTTAACCAAATAAGTGAAATAATAAAATTTGTAAGTTTGTCTCCACATGTATTGTCAATTTAAACATGGTAACTATACAAAATAAAATGATAATATTTGGTTACGAAAATAAGATGAGAAAATTGTCAGATTAAAGTACGATAATGAAACGTGATTAGATCTTTATTTCGAATCTTCTAATTATATATGTTGATGAATTATGTATTAATTGAATTACGTATCCGATTTTTTGGTGTATAACTCACTAATTTATACAATAATTCTCTAATTCTTGAGATCAATTCAGAGTCAAACTAGACGTTCTAATTTCGTTAATTCAAAAGTCATAATTTCTAATCATATATTCTTAATGCAAGGTTGAATAATTGCTCGAGATCAAATAAGTATATTAATGGTTAGAAATTCCTATATGTATCTATATCGATTCAGAGCGCTCTTAAACACAAAAAACAATAAGCACATGAACAATTAAATAAGATAATAATAATAATAATAATAATAATTATAAAAGTGTTCAATAAATCTCAAACAAACATATGAACCAATAAAATACAAAATTGTTCATCTAAAAAAGATCTAATCTAAGGAATCTAGCTATTCATAGTACAAGTAGAAATTATCATGAGTGTAGACGAAAGAAATTATGAAATATTATGAAGTATGTCTTCGATGGCTTCCAAAATTTCTAAATCATCTTTTTACAGCTCTAAATCGTCCCTTCATCTCCCAAATTCGTGAACACCTAAAAAAGTAGCATAAAAGACCTTTAAATAAAAATTTCGCATGTCAGAAAATGTGTTCTACCACGTTACAATGTAGCAATATCGTGCGCGATAATTCAAGGTCATATATCTTCTTTTTAGCTTTCATATGTAAAAAGTTCTGTCTCAATCTAAGTTACGAAACTCTATATATGATCAAATTATCGAACAAGCGTCATGAAGTAAATTGTGCTGAAAAATACTCGTTTCTTCACAATTTCTTCACGGTATCTTCAAAAATTTTCTAAGTCTTTATTTCTTCCATGTGATTGATTTTTTCTCAATTCTTCACACTTTGGTATGACTTTTGTTTGTTAATCTTCCGATTTCATCTAAAGTTATTCATAAAAATCACGTAAGGACGACTGTCATCATAATATCAAACTTACTTTATTGCTTGTTCTCAAGTAACCTGTCTACACACTTAATATTTCATCAAAATTAAAATGCTTACGCTTACCAATGAACGTCATCTTTCTTCTTTTGCTGATATACACTTCCGTTCCCTGCTTTAATCCAATAAACTCGGAAAATTTCTTCCGAACATACAAGTACTGAACCTATCTCTTATCTCACAAATATTCACTCTATTTGACAAGGTAATCACACAATCAACGTACAATAACATTTAACAATGAGTTTTTAAATTTTATAACTAAGTCAATCAAAGTCATATTTAAACACACACTTTTGAAGTCTTTTTAAGGTTGTAATATGACCTATATTAGGGCAGAATAATTTAGATTAGTAGACTTACACCTTTGTGTTGCGACGGGAAAATTGAGATTAAGCTACTGATTAACTTAACTCAGAAAAAAGTAAGAGTTGCCACCAAACTTTATTGTTTCCAAAGGGAAAAGTGAAAAGGTAAAAAAAAACTACAAAAAGTTTTGAAAACCAAAACAAAAGAGAGATTTAAGTATGAGGGTTGGTTATGTAAGGGGAAGGTATTAGCACCCCTCACATCTATGGTACTCCATGGGAACCACTTGAATTTGTTTATGAAATAAAATTTTGTTTGTTGATTGATTTTAGGTGAAAAGATATTTTGTAATATTCGAGTGGAAAATTCAACTTACTACCCACAAGTATGAGGAAATGAGCATTTGCATCATCTTGATATGGAGAATTTTTCTTAGATTTACTCAACAAGTATGTCTCAACATTCAAGTGGCAAATATCAATTAATTTCACAACATATTGTAGAAGTATAGAAATTTGCATCACTTCAAGAATAAACTCATATCCCTTCTTTGAGAAAAGAGTCTGGTTTGAAAAGAAAAATTCACTAAGGCACAAAAGAAGTTTGACGAGGTTTGTCCTTTTTTAAGAGTTTTGAAAGAGTTTGAATATGCTTAAGTATTTTAGCAATTATTAAGAAAAAGATTTTCTGGACCTCTTGACAAAGTCAAGGTTAAGAAAGGGGTGAAAATTTGAAAACAAGAAGTTTTGAAATATGGAGAAGATTTTGAAAATTAAAGAAGAGGAGGAGATGAAGAGACTATCCTAAAGCATAAAGTAAATGATAAGAAATAAATGGTCTCATTGTAAGGTAGTCCAAGAGAAAATCTTTGTGTGTTAAAGTGAACTAACCACAAGAAGAGAAAGCATTTGACATTAGTCAAGATGGAACATCCCTTTCCATTTGGATTTAAGCTACAAGACAAGCAAGAAAGATACATATAGAATCAAAAGCATCAGATGAAATCCAATGCATCAGATGAGAATCCCAAACATCATATGAAAACCAAGATCTTTGATAATAATCCCTGCACCAGATGAAATATAAAACACCAGATAAAATCAAAGGTCTTAGATGAATTCCCAAGGTCTGAGATGCATGGTCCAAATGAATCTCAAGGTATCAGATGAAAATCCAAGCTAAGGATATACCCTAAGTCTAAAAATAGAATCTCCTAAAGCAAGTGAAAGTAACCAATAGTCCAAATGATCAGATCCAAGTTTTTTTTTATGGTTTTGCCTTTATTAATGTATTTTGATGAAAAACAAAAATAAAAACCCATGGGAAAAAAGGAAAAAAGACATAAAATAAATGACAAAAGTAAAATGACATGAAATGTAAATGACATAAAATGTAAAGTGCTTGAAATTAAATTGCATTAATCTCAAGGGAAAGAAATTAAATCACATTAATGTAAAAGTACGAAAATATAAAGTTAGCACAATTAATATTGGATTAATGTTAGTGTTAGTAGTTAGTAATCCGATTCGAGATAAATTTAGCGCATTGTTGAAAACATCGAAGCTGACCAAAGCTATTTCATGACAGCAGTCAACCTAGTTGATAAGAGAAACTATGAAAAACACTTAGCCAAAATTGCTCCTTGTACCCCCAACGACGAGATCAATGAGACCAGGAATGCGCATTATTACATGACCCTTCGCCATGATGGAATGTATTGGGATCGAAGGATAATCAAGGGAGATGGAGAAGTCGATGGCGCTGCACAAAGACGGTGTTGTACCCCAAAATTTTCCCTCCCATATTCCTCAAGATTTGACAAGAATAATTCTCAAATTGTTCAAGGATTGCACAGTTAAACTACTTCCTAAGACAGCTGAAATTAGGGTTTTGGTTCTTTCAAGGGATTTGAGGTTTTCAATGGTTCAATCAAGTCCCATAGGCCTATACATATTCTCAAGCATCTACATGCCAAGTTTCAAGATTCACAATGCCAATTTGCACAGTCAAAAGCTCCATTTGATCCACAGTCAACTGCAAGGGCAAAATGGTCATTTCACAGTCAAAAGTCAAAATTTTTGGTCAACATCTTATTTTGAGTTCAAAATCATCATTTGATCAATCCTTGATCATGATTCCACAAGAATGGCTAAAAAATCATCAAGATGCAAAAAGTTACTATTTTTGGACAGCAGAAAAGTCAACTGTATCTTGACCAGGGCATAACTTTTTCATAGTTCATCAGAAAAATCCCATCCAATTCTCATTTTTAAGGGGATGACATTTCCTAAAATCCATCTTCACACTCCAAGTTCAATAAATGCTCTCACAAAAAGTTATCAATTTCTACATTATAGGTTAATTTCAAAAGTCAAGAAAAATGCATTTTGAGTCAAAGGCCATAACTTGAGATTGGTAAATCCAAATGACATGGGACCAAAGGCATTGGTTAGAGGACTTCAAGAACTTTCCAAAATGTCCAAGAACATGGTCATATGATCAAAATTGAGCAATATATGCATTGGAGAAGTTGGAAAATTTTCATGAATTTGCAAAAGTCAACTTTGCTCAAAACAACTTATTTTTGCTAATGGGCCTCAAATCTATTCTTGAAACTTCATCCATGGCCTATGCACGACCCATCAAGCTTAATTGAATTTATTTTCTTATTTTTATTAATTAATTGGATTTTTAATCAATATTAATTCATTTAATTAATTTAAATTGTAGGAAAATACAAAGATTTGAATTTTTCAATCTTTTTGTGAAGCAAATATGGTCAAATTATGCTGGCAATTTCGTGTACAAATCAAATATGCAAAAATCTCCAAATTTGGCAACTTTATTCAATCATGAAGAT